TGCTGTTGGTATTTTAATTGGGATTGGATTAAATCTGTGTAACAGTTTTGGACGTGTGGCCATTTTGACTGTCTTGGTTCTAGCTGTCCAGGAACAGAGGGTAGCTTTCCAGTTTTTGATGTCCTCTTTGTTCTCCTTTTTCAGACTACTATAGTTTTCATTGTAGAGGTCTTTCACTTCCTTGGTTAGGTTGATTACTAAGTATTTCATTTTTCTTGATGCGATTGTGAAAGGTGTTATTTCCTTAATTTCTCGTGATGGATTTATCATTGGTGTACAGGAATGCTGATGATATTTGAGTGCTGACTTTGTATCCTACTACCCTACTTAACTTGGTTATTCTAGCAGTCTTTTGCTAGAGTTTTTGGGGTCTTCTATGTAGAGGACATGATATCTGCAAGTAATGATAAGTTAACTTCTTCTTTTCCTATCCATAACCCTCTTATTTCTTGTTCTTGACTAATTGTTCTAGCTGATGTTTTGAAAACTATATTGAACAAGATTGGTAATAATGAACATGCTTATCTTGTTCCTGATTTTAGCGGGAAAGCATTCAGCTTCTCTCCATTTAATATGATGTTGGCTGTTGGTTTGTCATTCATGTCTTTTATCAGATTACCTATTTTCTTTTTTTATTGTGAATGGATGTTGGATTTTGTCAATGGCTTTTTGTGCATCTGTTGATTTTTGCTCATTTCTGTCTGTGTGATATATTACACTTCTTGATTTGCACATGTTGAACCACCCCTGCATTTCTGGGATGAATCCTTCTTGGTAATGACGTATGATCTTTTTGATGATTTGCTACATTCCGTTGGCAAGTATCTTATTGATGATTTTTGCATTTATGTTCGTTAAAGAGATTGGCCTGTAGTTCTCTTTTTTTGGTTGAATTCTTTTTTGGTTTTGGAATCAAGGTTATGCTTGCTTCCAGGACATGACTTTGGAGGTACTGCTTCCCTTTCAATTTCATTAAAGAGTTTGAGGAGTATTAGTATTAGCTCTTCTCTAAATTTCTTGTAGAATTAGGTAGTGAACCCATCAGGACCTAGACTTTTCTTAGTTGGTAGTTTTAAAATTACTTCTTCAGTTTCATTAACTGATGGTGAATTATTCAGGATTTTTGTATTTTCTAGGATATAAATTTTTATGTTTCTTAACATTTTTGCTGTCTCTAGCAAAGCTGTTTTCCATCTTAATAGCCCAGTTTGATTACTTCCCTATATGGAGGAGAAATCTGCATCTCTTTAATTTTCTGCACGTTGATGTCATTTCTGCCTCTACTTGCTATATATAGTCAGTGTTATTCAGTGTCTAAATTATTCATTTCTCCTTATCTATTAAATATTTGCCTACCAGTTGGAAGTCATATACTTAGTTAGCTAGTTCCTGGAAATAATGAAATACAAGTGCCCCTCAGCCTGTGATGGGGTTATGTCTTGATAAACCGATCATAAATTGAAAATTCTAAATTGAAAATGAATTTAATATTCAGGCCCCTGAATGTCATCATAGCTTAGCAACACAGTACACTGTAAGATATCAGTTACTGACACTTTTGATTTTGTGGCTGATGGGAAGCCGTAGCTCACTAGTTGCCCAGCATTAAGAGAGAATATTATACTATATTGTCATGGGAAAATATCAAAATTAGAGCTACTGTTAGCCCTTGGTATCCACAGGGGACTGATTCCAGGATACTCCTTCCTAGGAACACTAGAGTAAAGGGTTTATTATTTGTATATAACTCATACATGTTTTCCCATTTACTAACAGCCTCCACTTACGATGATTCAGTTTAGGATTTTTCAACTTTATGATTATGTGAACGTGGTGCAAAATCGAATGCATAAGACCTAGCAAGGTGTTGTGCGACCCGAACACTGGAATGTCTGCTGTGTACGTGTGTGTGGTGGGAAAGGGAGACACTGCCTGAGCTGCATTAGGAGCAGCTACGTTAGGACACATGCATTTAAGGCTAGCCCTGGATAGAGGTGATCAGGAAGAGGCTGCATTGGATGCAGCACTTCTGAGATGAGAAGTGTGGCATTTGAGGAAATGAAAGAGTAAGTCAGTATGGAGGAGATGAGACGTGGAGGTAGTCGAAGGTCTTATTAACTATATAGGGGCTTAAACCTTATTTTGCTGGCATGTGTAAGCCATTTCAGGACAATAGAAAGGATCCCAGTGTTTTTAAGAAGGTAGATGCTGGATGTGTTGGCACATGCTTGTTTGTACTCTCAGCATACTGGGAGGCTGAGGAAGGATGATCAAGTTTGAGCCCAACCTGGACAACTTACTGAGACCCTGTCTCAAAATAAATCATTTCTTTTAAAAGGCTGGGAATATAGCTCAGTGCACAAACCCTGTGTTCAGTCCCCTGTAATAACCCCCAACACACACACACACACACACACACACACACACACACACACAAATGGATTGGATTAGAGCAAGGAGGGAGAATTGTGTAAATAAAGACTAATTACTGTAAAAGGCTCTGGAATTGTCCAGGTGAAAAATGATGGTGGCTTGGATTAAGTGAGTTGAAAGATATTTACCAGCTAGACCTCGTACTTGGTGATTTATTAGTTTGGGGTAGGGGAGAATCAGCAAGAATATCAAGAATGAACTCTTGGCTTTCCAAGAGTTTGTTTGTCAGATGATAGCAGAAGAAATAAGTTTGAGGGAATTTAGAGTCTGTTTTAAAGGTCCTGATTTCGATTCCCGGTACCAAAAAAAATAGTCTGTTTTAGATATATTTAATTCAGGATGATTTCTGGTTTTCAATCCAATATTTCCCTGGCCTTCAGATTTTATTAATATCATTATTATTTTTGTTTTTTGACACATAATCTTGCTGTGTAGCCCATGCTGACCTGAAACTCAAAATCCTCCTGCCTCAGCCTCCTGAGTGCTGGGGCTCAAACTTTATTAAGGGAAGTTGTTTACATATTTACATGAAGTGACTATAGCCTCTTTTGTGCTGCCTCTGTACTGTATTTTTTTTTATTTTCTTTTTTTTTGTCTTTTTGAGATAGTGTCTCGCTATGCAGTTCAGGCTGGCCTTGAGCTCACTTTGTAGCCCAGGCTGGTCTCAACTCACAACAATCCTCCTTCCTCAGCCTCCCAAGTGCTGGGATTACAGGCGTGAGCCACCACACCCGGCTTGTACTGTATGTTTTAATGCTTAAAACCTTATTAGATTGTCAACTCTTTCTGAGGGGTGACTTCTTATGTTCCTGGAATTCAGAATGTACCTGGCACAGTTAGTGCTTAATAAACATATGAATGAATGCCAGTTAATTTTGCTTCTTTATTTACATATCAGTCTCCTTGAAGATTAGTTCTTATCTAAAAGAAAGGGCCACATAGTGATTTCTAGTGCTTTGTACAGAGCCTGACTCATATTAAGGAATCAGTAAACTTCAGCTGTTGCTTCTCTTGTTATTTTCTTCGTTGTTATCATTTAGGTACTGTGTATTTATATTTTGGCTACTTTTTAGTTCTGGATGTTAAACTAAGTGATGATTTAGGGTTTATGGTTTAGGGAGTTTTGTGGGGGCTAGAGATAGAGGTAGGGAGGGCCCATATTTAGACATTTAGGTTTAACTTTCAAAAGCCAAGGAGTTTGGGGTGTGACTGAGTGCTTACCTCTCATAGGTGAAGCCCTGGGTCAATCTCTCACATCCAAAAAAAGAGAAAATATTTTGTGTTGCAAAAACACATTAATCAAAAAAATTTCAAGTGAAAAATAATGTGATTCAGAGTGACTAACTCGGACGTTATTTACTGTGTCTGTGAGGAGGGCATGGTGGCACATACCTATAATCCCAGCATTCTAGAAGACTGAAGCAGGAGGATCACAAATTCATTCCTAGCTTGGGCAACTTAGTGAGATTGTATCTCTAAATTAAAAAATAAAAATAAAAAAGGGTTGAATAAAAAGGTTGGGGATATAGCTCAGTACTGCAAAAACAAAACTATTATTTACTGTACTTTATTTCAGATACATCTATATCATGGGAATACAAGAAAGAAATGAGAAACTGTTTTATAGAATACTACAAGATGATATTGAAAGTCTAATGCCGATTGTATACACACCAACAGTTGGTCTTGCTTGTTCCCAGTATGGACACATCTTTAGAAGACCTAAGTAAGGCCTGTTTTTAAAAATACATAAGCAAATGATTATTGTATTTAAAATCATCCCATAACACCAGTAGATTTTTGTGTTACAGTCTTATCCCAACCATCTCACAAAAGCTTAATTTGGATTAAGAGATTAATTAAAAAACCCAGCATGGTTTTTATATCTTTTAGTTCTGTAGCAATTGCATAATTCATTCAATTTTTTGTGAATATTAGAAGAATCATATACTTTTTGTATCTTCTCCTTCTGCCCAAAAGATCTTAATTTTGGTGGCAGATTCTCTGTAATTACCATTACAGTTTTTGGAAATCTGCCTGTTTAAGGGATTGGTTCTTTCTCATTTGTCAGTTTTAATTTCTGTTATTTGTTCTTCTTTGTAAATCAGCTTTCATGAATTTTAATTTCATGTGGTTCTAGCATTTCCAAATATTTTAAGTGGAAAGAGTACAGAAATGGGCCATTGTGTAAGTCCCTGAATGAAACACATAATCCTTCTGAATGTGTTTTCTCACATGTCCAATAGGAATAAAGTACTTATTAAAAAGCTATTGAGAAGAAACTAATTGATGGTTCTTTGTAGACTTATAAGCATTATAAACATGCTATTTTTCCTTAAAGTATGTCTTGTTTCTCATACTAGTTTTCTCAATCTTTGTACTGAGTTATAATACATGTCCATCTAACTTACTGATACAAATGTAGAAGAAATTCAGTCAAGGTGCGATATTATTTACCTCCAGTCTCTTCAGTCTTTCTTTGTGTAGTCTGGTTGCTCTGAAACTCTACTGGGCATGAGGAGCACCTGTTGGGCTTACTAAAAATGCTGACCCTGCCAGTTCTCATCTCCTTCCCATCCCTAAGACTGGTTGATAAAGGAGGGTTTGGTGACCTGGATTATAGCAATTGAGTTGTCAGTATTCCCTGGAAGACACTGAGGAACACTATCTAAAACCTTCGTATTATAAAACCTTAACTGTTCACCACTTTGATAGTTTATTAGCATAGTTTTTCTCAGCTTACATTGAAGAATAGAGGGAAATAAGCATACTGCTGTGTGGGCCCTACCCCTGGGATTCTGATTCGAGTATTCCAGGTTTGGGTTCAGGTGCGAGTGTTTCATAAAAGTTCCTGGTGTCCTGCTCGTGTGCAGAGATGAGCACTGACATAAGATAAAGCACAGCTTTGAGTGAGGGCATGGAGTGTGTATTGCATGGAAGACTACATAGGAGATTTTTTTGTTCTGTTTTGGGTGTTAAAGATGGTTAGTAATCTTGTTTGGTTGATTAATCTTAACTCTGAGGCAGTTAAATCAGAAACTGTGGGGATGGGGCCTAGCATTCTAAAAAGCTCATCAAATAATTATGTAGACATGGTTGAAAAATTTCTAGACTACAGTGATTTGAGCTACAGTAATAATACCAAAGTTAAGATATCAGTGAAAAAATTAAATGTAAAAATAAGTTTGAAGGCAGTAGGAACCATCTCTGCCTGACTTGTTTTTAGAACTTAATATTTCAGGCCGGGCAAAAAACCCAACGGCAAAAAGGCCCGCCCGGCAAACAAAAAGGCCCAAAGTCAAATCCCAAGAACCTAAAAAAAAAAAAAAGAACTTAATATTTCTCTTTTCTCTGTTTCTCTCCTTCCCTTCCTCTCTCCCTGCCACCCCCAACCTCTTTTAAAATCTGGATTTTTAAATAAATAAATAATAAATCTGCATTATTTCTGTTAGATAACAGTGTACTGTGCTTAACTTTACATTAGCCATTCTGCAATATATACATATTTCAAAACAGCATGTTGTATGGGATTATGTACTCTTTGTCAACTTCTTACTTTATTTTAATGCTTTAAATGTGTCATCCTTTGTGTGAATTTTCTGTAATTTTCTTCCCTCCCTTCTTCAAATTTCAAATTGTGAGTTTCAGTGAGTTTTAACAGTAGTTTAATTGCCTCTTTTTTTTTATATTGGTGGATTATCTTTACCATGGTTTTTACTGGAGATGTGTTGTTTATTTGAACATGTGATGTGGATAACATTTCTTCTTGAGTAAAATGATCACATCACTTAACAGTAATCTTTGTTACCACTGCAATGTGAACAATGTAATTATGGTTTGAAGTAGTTGAAAATGTTTGAAAATAAACCAGTGTGACTTAGCTAAATTTGCTTGGAAATTATACCATGTCTAGATATTTGATTAAAATACCTAAGCATTCCAATTATGGACAAAAAATTAGGAACAAAAAACTGTCATGAAATGCAAAGGTGTTTTTGTTCTGTTGCAGGGGATTATTTATTTCAATCTCAGACAGAGGTCATGTTAGATCAATTGTGGATAACTGGCCAGAAAATCATGTTAAGGTACTAAGAGCACAACCCTCTTTTTCACAATGTTTTCTCTTTCCTTGTAAGTTACCTCTAAATTGCCAAGAACAATTTTTCATTGCTGCTCTGATTTATTTTACACTTCTATACATGCAGATGTAGTGCTTTGTATCTGAGGAAACGGTAGTTGCAATAGTTCTAAATGGGTTATGGTGTAATACAGACTTGAGTCTGAGAGAGAAAATGGAGTTGGTGATGAGGCAGACCCTCTCTCTGCCACTGCCACTCCAGTGTCCTGCCTTCTTCCTTTCTGTTCACTAATGATAATTCTAGGTGGGGAAAATACATGAAAATGTTATAAAGATTTATTCTGGAGGGTATTGGAGAAGGTTGGTTATGCCTTTCTTTCAAACTAAGATAGATTTAGATCCTTAGCAAGTATAAAACTCTCAAAACAGTTTTAACTTTAGCAAATATAGTTAGTATAAATTTTTGTCGATGTGACTATCTTTTACATAAAAGTAATAACTTGTTTCAAGATCATTTGACAGGCTTTTGTGCTTATTATAGGCAGTAATCTTATTTGCCTTTGTTACCTATATCTACCTTATCAAAATAAACATTGATGGATTCATTAGTTCAGATACTCTAGCAAAACACTGGTATGATAACTATACTCAGCAATGTGATCTTGAAACCTTATATGTACATTTGCAATTTTTAAATGGTAGATCTTTTTTCTCCTTTACTGTGGCTAAGGGTTTTCTTTGCCCTACATTATTCTGTTGAAGTAGCATGCTGTTTGTTTCTAAACTGTTTTTTTCTTAAGGTAATTTCTTCATCAGAATTATGTTCACTTTTTCTGTAGTCTTTCTCAAAGGTACATGGCTTTAATCCTAGCTACTTAGGAAGCTGAGACAGGAGAATTAGCAGCTCAAGGCCAACTTAACAAGACCCTGTCTCAAAATAAAAAATAAAAAAAGGGTTAAGATGTAGCTCAAAACCCCTGAGTTCAATCACCAGTGCTACAAAAAAGGAAATAAAGAAAGAAATTAGATTGGTCCTTCAGTAAGACAGAAGTGTTCTGTTTCCAAACCTAAGTCAGAGTGAAATTAAATCTAAGTAATTCTCTTTTTAATGTACTGTAATACGCAGATATTCTAGATTATGTATGTTTGAATTACATTGGAATTCAGCTGAGAAATAATTTTATTTCTAAAAGTGAAAATATATGAAGAAAATCAGTGTTGTTTTGAAAGTATTTTTTAGTGCCACATTTTGGACAACTTTTAATGTGCATTTTTTTGTTTTGTTTTTGTTTGTTTTTTGTAATTAAGGCTGTTGTGGTGACTGATGGGGAAAGAATTCTGGGTCTTGGAGATTTGGGTGTCTACGGAATGGGAATCCCAGTAGGAAAGCTTTGTTTATATACAGCTTGTGCAGGAATACGGCCTGATAGATGCCTGCCTGTCTGTATTGATGTTGGAACTGACAATCAAGTGAGTAATATTTTTCCCCTTTGAACGTCCTCCTATAGTTAAAAAAAACTCCGCATTTGAAGATGATTTAATAGAAGAAAATTTAAAAAGAAAAAAAGAGGGGAAGATCTTTGGCTAGGAATGTAGCTCAGTGGTAATCACTGCATGTCATACCCAAGGCCCCAGGCTTCAGTCTCCAGCGCAAGAGAAAAAGAAAGAAGGGTAAATCTTGTAACTGGATATTGATTGTTTTCTTAAACTCCATTTTTACTACTTACACAAGTGATAGTTAACTAAGCCTATTAAAAGTTTCTTGAAGTACTATAATTTTTGTTTTGTATGTTTAAACTAGTAATAGAGTTTACCTTTTTTTTATAGGCACTCTTAAAAGATCCATTTTACATGGGCTTGTATCAGGAAAGAGATCGCTCACAACATTATGATGATCTGATTGATGAGTTTATGAAAGCAATTACTGACAGGTATCTTTAAAAGTTTGACTACATGAAAGTACCTTTAATTGCTGGTGGTGGGGACCATAGTTGTGTTTTCTTTTTTGTGAAGATAAGCAAGACTAGATGAAATCTGGGGAATGTGCTGATGCAGGGTGGTAGCCTTGCTGTGCCTTGCTGTGTTGGGTTACTTCACATCTGAAGTGAAGTCTGCACTCATCCATCTCTCCTACCCACCCTCCCTGCTTAGTCCTCCTTCCAACTTTGACAGCAGGCTGACCATTGTGCCATGAAGTAAAGATGTTCTGCAGCTTTTATCCTCCCTATTCATGTCTTTCCAATGTGTGGCCAAGTTTTCCTACTCCTATGTACTTGAAACTTTCTCTTGACTACTAGAAGACTGTTTGTCTTCTACTTTTTCTTTTGTCATTTTCACAGGGTTTTTTTTTTTTTTGCTGCCTTTCGTTAAGTGTTGATGACTACCTGTTCTTCTCTTTGAGCTATGCAAACTGTGGCTCTGTGTGTGTGTGTGTGTGTGTGTGTTTTACTGTTTTGGAATCAGACCCAGGGCTGCATGTATACTAGCCAAGTGGTCTACCTCTGAGTTATGCCCATAACCCTTAGCGTATTTAGTTGACACACATTTATGGTGAACTCTGTTGTTTATGCATTTGACTCCAAAATCTGTGTAAACCCATCCTTGTACTGCATTTCTACCAGTTGGAATTCTCCATTGCGATATTCTGTTACTACTTCATGTTCACATTTCAAACAGTTCTATAGTCCCAACCACTATTAATGATAGTAACAATCACCATATTGCCAAACTTTTGATCTTGGTGTTACCTTTGACTTTTTTCTTCACTAGCCACCTGTGCAGTCAGAGATTATGTCTCTTCCATTACCACAGTCTTGTTCTTTCCTCATCTCTTGTCTGGATTTCTCTATACCTTCTCCAAGTTCCTCTTCAGTTCTTCCCCATTTTGACACCATATCAGTCTTCTAAAAGTATGCACTTCATTATGTTATTCTTTTGCTTGACATCATCTCTCAATGGATTTTGGTTGCCACAGAATATACCCCAAACTTTATCTTCATGGTCCAGCTCTGGCCTACCTTTTAAATTACTGGCACATTTAAGGTACTAAAAAATTAATTCCTTTTCAGAGATGTTTTAGTTACTTTCTTATTGCTGTGACAAAATACCTGGCACCCACAAGTTAAAGGAGGAAAGGTTTATTTGGCTCACAGTGTGTACAGGTTTCAGTCCATAGTCAGCTGGTTCAAGGCAGGTGGGCATGGAGGAGGAGAAAGTGTTCAAGGAATGGCAGTCAGGAAGCAGCAAGGGATCAAGGCGGATGAGTGATACATAGGCTCCAGGCTGCACCAGCAGTGACCCACCTCCTCCCACCAGGCTTCCCCTCAACTTTAAACCTATGAGTAAACTAATCCGGTATCACAAACCCTGATCTAGTCCCCTCCCAAAAGACCCCAACTATGAGGACATGAGGCTTTGGGAAGACATCTCAATACAACCTGTAACTAGAGGCAACATTGACGAGTCCAAAGCTGAACCTTTCATCTGCCTGGACATTATCATTTCCCCTTTTCCTTTCATTTCCCTACCTTTGACAGCTCAGTAGTATCTTCTTAGTCACTCAGGTTGCCTGGGCATTGTCACAGTTTCTCCCTCATTTCCCCGTTGGTCCTCATCCCCAATTTCTGTTCCTTTGTTCTAATGTTTCATAGTTGTCTTTTGGCCGCCTGTGGCATTTTCAGGGTTTTCACATTATGATATGATATAATATCTGGCACTTCTCCTGTTTTTCTTACCTCTGTCCATACCACTGTGGTGTACATTACTGGTGAGGACATCCTCGCTAACATTAGGGAGTCTTACATGAATTCTTCTCTCTTCTGCAGCCTTCAATAATTGTACATGGGGTGTAGAGGAAAGTTCCTTTTCTCTAGTTCGGCATTCAGGATTTTCCCTTCTTTGGCTGTATTTAGTATACATTCCCATATTGCTGTTTAACTGTTAATGAGGATATGTATATCAAATACACAGTTTTTGAGACTCAGAGACAGAGTCCCTTCGTTTTTAGGAAATTACTTAGTGTTTGTGTGCTGTGAACCCCCGTAGGCTCTTCAGAATACTTTATGCTGCTTGCTGTCCCATGGGCCCGTTATGCTGCTGCATTGTTCTTAATCACCTCATGATTTTCTTTTGAAGTAACAGATGTGTGCATTTTGGGTCTAGTCTTTTACAGGCTCTGAAAATTTTTAGATGACCTTTGACATAATACATTACATTATGTACTTTTAAATGCTATCATAAGAAATAATAGGCAGGAAAGCTGTCTCATAGTGGTATTTTCAACACAACCATTATGGGTTTTGCTGTTTTTAGATATGGCCGGAACACACTTATTCAGTTTGAAGACTTTGGAAATCATAATGCATTCAGGTTCTTGAGAAAATATAGAGAAAAATATTGTACCTTCAATGATGACATCCAAGGTAAAGCAAAAAGGAAACTTTAGATTTTTGATTCCTACTAAACATTTAAGATATGCCTTTTTTATTTTTAAAAATCTTTGTTTTTCTTATAGGGACAGCTGCAGTAGCTCTAGCAGGTCTTCTTGCAGCCCAAAAAGTTACCAGTAAACCGATCTCAGACCACAAAATCTTATTTCTTGGAGCAGGCGAGGTAAGCTCTTACAAACTTTAGAATTTAAAAAGAACACTGTCTTTTAGAATTAGAAAGTAGGAAAGAACGTTGGTGCTCACGAAAAGAGCACAGTGGGCTTATAATTTTGTTGAAGTAGTGGATATGAATTTTTTTATGGTAGATAATTAAAAATATGTTGAGAGAGAATATCACAATCAATTTTTATGTGATTTGTAAGGGACAAATAACCCAAATATTCATCATAACAATCTTGATAAAGTAATTCAAACACTTCATTGTATTCATCTTTACTTTTCAATTTTGTGTTCTGTTGGACAGGCTGCCCTTGGAATTGCAAATCTTATAGTTATGTCTATGGTAGAAAATGGACTCTCAGAAGAAGAGGCACAAAAGAAAATCTGGATGTTTGACAAGTATGGTTTATTAGTAAAGGTAAAACATTAAACACTAAAAACTCTTGCTTCGGGTTGGGGATATAGCTGAGCAGCACAAGCACCTGCCTGGCAAGTGCAAGGTCCTGAATTCAGTTCCTGGTACTAAACAAAATAAAACTCTTACTTCATATTTTAACCATAATCTATTTTTCTCCTGCTCCTTAAGAGATAAAATCCCTGTTATGTATTACTATAGCTAACCCTTATAAAGCTAAGGGAGTTTGTTTTGTTTTGTTTTGTTTTGTCATGTGGTACTTGGGATCAAACTCAGGGCCTTCTATATGCTAGTTAAGCACTCTACCACTAAGCTACACTTCAGCCCTAAAACTAAATTTTTAATAGGAACTTAGAATATCCTACTCATGTGATTAGCAGTATATATAATACTTGAGCAGAAATGCTTTAACCCATAATCTAAGAAACTGTGGACCCTTCCCTCCCCACAAGAAAGCTTTATTCCTGAAACCAATTCATGGATAATAAGGAGCTCTCAGATTATTTTAGTACCCATCAGGCTTGCGTGCCTTCCTTTGCATTAGTTACTATTTTTATTAGTTTAATGTCATAGATCTTATACTGTGGGATACTGAAATATAAACAGGTTCATATTTCAGTCTATCCAGTTTATAGTGCTATTGTATTTTTGTGTGAACACATCCTAGTATAATGACATAGCAGTTACTTGCCATTTACCATTCACATCTGTAGAGCAGGCTATGTCAGTGTACTTTGCTACAGTTCTAAAACCTTTTCTTCTTAATTAGTACCAATATTCTGTTAAAAAATAAAATGGAAAATTAAAGTTTATGAGTGAAAAATCCTGAATAGTCTAGAGTTGTTTCTGTGTCTTCTAATCTGTTCCATTGAGCCTCAAGTCTGTTTCTTTGCCAGTACCATGCTGTTTTATCACAGTAGCTTTGTAGTATAATTTCAAGTCAGGGAGTGTGATGCCTCCTGCCTTGCCTTTGTTGCCCAGAATGGCCTTTGCCATTCTAGACTGCTTCTAGTTCCAAATGAATTTTGGGATCTAATAAAATGGAAAATGCAGAAGAAATGGATAGATTCCTAGATAACTTATGAATTACCAAAGCTGAATCTAGAAAACATAAATATTCTAAATAAACCAATGTCAGTCAGTGAAACTGAACATATAATTAAAAACCTTCCAACAAAGAAAAATTCAGGCCCAGAGGGATTCTCTGGTAAATTCTACAAGAAATCTAGAGAAGACGTAGTACTGCTACTTTTCAAACTTTTTAATGAAATTGAAAGGGAAGCAATACTCTCAAATTCACCTCTGGAAGCAAGCATTACCCTGATACCAAAACCAGAGAAGGACCCAACCAAGAAAGAGAACTACAGGCCAATCTTTCTAATGAACATAGATGCAAAAATCCTCAATAAGCCAATAGAATGCACAGAATCATCAAGAAGATCATGTGTCATTACCAAGTAGGATTCATCTCAGGGTTGCAGCTATGATTCAACATACACAAATCAATAAATGTAATATACCATATTAACAGAGCCAAGGACAAAAATCATATGTGATCATCTCAGTATATGCAGCAAAAGCTTCTGACAAAGTCCAGCACCCATTCATGATAAAAAGCCCTACAAAAAATTGGAATAGATGGTCTTTATCTCAATCTGATAAAAGCCATCTATGACAAACCAACAACCAACATTATACTAAGTGAACCAAAACTGAAAACTCACTCTAAAATTAGGAGCAAGACAAGGATGTACACTGTCACCACTCTTACTCAATATAGTTCTGGAAACATTAGCCAAAGCAATTAGACAAGAGAAAGAAATAAAAGGAATAAGGATAGGAAAGGAAAAAGTTAAGTTATTATTTGCAGGTGACATGATAGTCTACATAGAAGACCCCAAAAACTCCACCGAAAGACTTCTAGATTTAATGACCAAATTCAGTGGCTTAGCTGGATACAAAGTCAGCACTCAAAACTCAATAACCTTCCTGTACAGAAATAACAGACTGAGAGAGAAATTAGGGAAACAACACCTTTTACAATAGCATCCAAAAAATGAAGTACCTAGGAATCAATCTAACAAAGGAAGTAAAAGAACTTTACTAAGTTGAAAACTGCAGTACTGTGAAAAAAGATCGAAAGGGGTATCAGAAAATGGAAAGATATCCCTTGCTCTTGGGTAGGAATAACCAATATAGTGAAAATGGCCATACTTCCAAAATTATTATACAGATTTAATGCAATCCCAATTAAAATTCCAACAGCGTATCTCACAGAGAAAACAATCCTATGATTTGATTTTAAAGTATGATATGATTTTACATTATTATCCTTTAGTCCTCTCAAAAATTCTGTGGTTTTTTGGATTTTTTTTTTTTTTTCTGTGAAGTTTTACAGTTGAGGAAAGAAAAGTTCAAAATGGTCAGGGACTTTTCCATAGTTTTCCACAATCCGTAGTTTGTAAGTAATGGAGACAGAATTTAAGCCAAAAAGCCTGAATACAAAGTCAGTGCTCTGAACCATTAAACTGCTGCTGAACTCAAGGAGGCTTTAACTACCATATTTGTTAGTATATAAATAATATGCAAGGATTACAAGGCATTATGTTTTTTGGAAAGCTGTTGGGGAGGATATATTTTTATGACGCTTTTAAAATTTTTTTGCAGTGTTCCTTTTCATCCAGTGTTTTGCAATTCTTTGTCATAGTGGTGGGTCTCGAATATAGTGTTGACAGCTACAGTGTATTTTCCTAGCATAAGTGAGAATCTGTTTACCTGGAGGTTCAGAGTGTGTATTTCTTTTAGGGTATGCAGTTAGCTTGACCTGTGGGCTTTAGGTTTCCAGTCTTTCTTTGGTGTCTGTTTTGAAACTGAGAGCTTTCCATGAAACCCTCACACTAGAGAGCTTTGATAATCATGGGGCAAGCACAAAAAATCCTGTTCTGAGAACCAGGTCTGTTCAGGTGGTATTTCATTAACTTCTCAGCCAACTGATGGTGGTATAATTCTTTTCTAGCCCCTGCTGGCTTTTACATGAGGTTATTCTGGAATTCTAATGGAAGAAATTCACTTTTGGGGGGAGGTCTTCTTTTATCACAGTATGAATATGGGTTTCTCAGCCTGGTTGGTTTTTATATGTAGTATATTTTTGTCTGCTTTACATCTTTGAGAAGTTCTTTATTATCTTGACCTGTTAGTCTTGCCTCTTCTGGCTTTGCAGCAGTACGAAAGATTAAATTTTTATGGTTTGTTTGTTAGAACTGGAGACTTAGGAAGGAGAACAGAGCACGTTTTATTTATTTAGCCATATTAAAACAGAATCCCTCCCACAAAAAAACCCCCCAGAATTCCCTTTTCTTCTTGTTTCTGTGCTCCTGGTATTAAAAGCCCTAGATATCTGTCTGCAGTTCTGAAACGTTAAAAGCTCTCAAATCCCCATTTTTTTCAGAAATTCATTTGGTGACAAATTTACTTGATCTGAACTTATCTGGTAGCAAAACCTGACTGGAACTATGAGAGACTGCTGTCTTAACCTTTGTACTTGGTGTGACTGTTTATAAGTTTGTTTACTTGAAGGGGTGCCCGTTGGCAGGGGTCATCAGGATTCATAATATTTTATGACTGCATTGTAATTCTAAAATATGAAAAGCCTGCAATAAATTCCCAACTTAGATAAGACATTGTAGATCTTTGTGCCATATTGGCTATAGAAGGCTTTTACAGAATACTTGAGTTTTAGTTTTGGTTTGTTGGTGATTTTGGTGCTCACACTGTACCACTGAGCAGTACCCCCAAGGCTAAGTAAGTACATTCTTCGGTATAATTGGATTTGATTATGTTTTATATTTATGGGCATTATGAAGTTAGAATTGGAAGATATGAGTTGAAAAAAGTAAATGAAAAGATATTTTCATTGTAGAAACAGTATATAACTCATAATAATGTCTTTTCACTTAATCTTCAATATGCACTTACCAAAAAATATTGTCTTTTATCTAAAAAAATCAGGGTCGGGATGCTACAATAGATAGTCATCAGGAACCATTTGTACACCCGGCCCCAGAGAGCATACCTAATACTTTTGAAGATGCAGTAAATATACTTAAGCCTTCAGCTATAATTGGTAAGTAAAGTTGTTGATAAATAGTTGTTACTTAACTGTATGTTGCCATTCATAACCACCATGTGATGTAGGATTACTAAAAGTGAATTGACATGTATTATCCAGCTTTTAGAATTTATAGTTGTCCCTCAGTGTCTGTGGGGGACTAGTTTCAGGATCCACCACAGATACCAAAATCTGCAGTATGTAACTCCCTTATATTAAATGGTTTAATATTTGCATATTTTCTGTGCATGTTCTCTTGTGTTTCGGGTTTTTTTGTGGGGTTTTTTTTTTTGAGTCAGGGTCTCGCTATGCAGTTCAGGCTGGCCTTGAGCTTACTTTGTAGCCCAGGCTGGTCTCGAACTCACAACGATCCTCCTGCCTCAGCCTCCCAAGTGCTGGGATTACAGGTGTGTGCCACCATGCCCAGCTTGTACTGTATTTTTGTTTGTTTGTTTTTTTTTTTTGGTTTTTCTCCGGTACCGGGAATCGAACTCACGACCTTGCGCTTGCCAGGCAGGCGCTTTGCCGCTGAGCTAAATCCCCAGCCCCTGTATTTTAAATAGTCTCTAATTACTTACAATAACTAATGCAATGTAAATGCTATGTAAAGAGTTGTTACAATATATTGGTTAAGGGATAGTGACAAGAGTCTGCACATGTATAAGTTTTCTTTGCTTTACTTTTCTGTTTCTTTTTTTTTGAGACAGGATCTCACTAATTTGCCAAGGCTGGCCTTGAACTCATGATCCTCCTGCCTTAGGCTTCTGGGTAGCTGGGATTACAGGCTTGCACTACGGTGTCAGTTAGGTGCAGTTTTTTTCCTCAAATATTTTCAATATGCGGTTGATTGGATCCGTATATGCAGAACCACATGGATACAGAGGCCGACTGATGTTTCTGTGATGTTTTTGTTACCATGCATGAAAATCCAGTTAAAAGATGTTACTTATGCTCCTAAATGCTAGAAGCTGCACTTGACCATGGATCATGTTTTCCTTTTGTCTTTTTTCTCCTCTCCTTTCCTCCTACTCTTCCCTCCTTCCTCTTTTTTTTTTTTAAAGAAGATCTCACTCTGTTATTCATACTGGTCCCAAATTCTTTATCTCAGGTGACCCCCAACCCAGCCTTTTGAGTAGGATGCATGCCTAGCCCTTTTATCATGCTTTACTTTTAGCATTGCTATGATTATTGGGCTCAAAATCTTAGAAAGACCAAGGTAATTTGACAGTCTGTGCCAGGAAAATCCAGTGTAGTCAGATTTTCACTAGTAGTAACAAAGCTGAAAACTTTCTGTGTGCTGTGTATTGCATAGTTGACACTCAGCAGAGAATGTCCGTAAAAGAGGAGCAAGGAACAGTTCATGCTTATTTTTTTTTTTTTTTTTTTTTGACCAATTTTGCATGCTTGTATCTGGTAATCTGAACAACTGCTTTGAAGACTGTCCTTCTCTTCAGGACGACAGGTCCCAAGAACAAGGTGCCCATGGCTGAAAAGAAAAGTAAGAGAGACAAGAAAAACAAGAGAGGCAAAAGTCTGGGATCAGGGGGTTTACAGCTTTTCGGACTGCAGCCCAGATTACCAATCTCAGTCACTTTTTATTGAGCGAGAACCAAGGGCGTAGCTAGTACAATTGGGCGGATACCAAATGTTCTTGTAATGAACAGATAATCCTTCTCCATTTCTGCTTCTTATGCCACTGGCAACAGTCCCCAGGTTGATCTCCGACACCCAGCACCACGCTAAGTTCAGCTGGGGGTTATAAGTTGATCACCGGTTATCAATCCACTACGGTCACAGTCCTTACTTCCCATTAATTTTTACAATGCATGGCAAGATTAAAAAATAGGGATCTCCTACAATTCAAATACACTCTTCTTCAGGTGAAAGGTTTCAGTTCATTTTTGCAACAATAAACAAATCATTATGTGTCCTCAGTGCTTTCTTATCCGAGGATGTCCTTCTCCACAGAGGACAACAATATAACAACCATTGTTGAATTTAAAAAGAGAGGACCAATTTGATTTCCTATGTAGCTGCAAGTTTGAATCTACAGCCGTGCTTATAATTTTGTTGACTGCACATAGGAGCTCATGGAATGGTAATACAGCAGTCACAAACAATGAGTTCCTGTGGCCAAGAAAAATAGGCTTGTTTTAATTTCTACATTTTATAGTAAGAAGAAATCTTAAAGGTCGTCTAGTCCATTCCTCTCAAAATTACCTGTAGAAACCTAAGAATCTATCCATCGATTCTGCCTACCTCCAGAGGGGCAGAAACAGAAAATTGTCACAGGGATGGGTGTTCAGTGAAGGCATGACCTCCATCTCCAAATCCCTGCTGTCATCTCGTGTCCCTCCTTCATGCTGTGCTTCCATGACCCTTTATGAATCTTGACTATTCTAGGTACTTCAAATAAGTAGTAATGCATTACTTGCCTGCCACTGGCATATTTTACCTAGCCGAATGTCCTGAAGGTTCACCCATGGTGCAGCAAGTTTTATCTCAGAATGACGGTGATAGTTTTGTGCTATTATTTGTTTTAATTTCCTGTAATTCATTATGTGCGATAAACAATATTTAAGTGAAATTTTCAGCCTTTTATGGCTTTACTTTTCACACTGGAGATTGTGTTCCTGTGGCATTCTCTCAGGGGTGCAGAATCTATTTTTGTAATGAGAGATGATCTATGGTTTTGTTATGGTAACCCTATTGTAAAACTGCTGTTGATAAGAATTATTTACTGGGCTGGGGATAACACAGTGGCACAGCACCTGCCTGGTAAGTGCAAGGCCCTAAGTTCGATTCTCAGTACCAAAAAAGAATTATTTATTACACCTGTGCTGATGTTGCTTTTTTCTCTCTTATACTATTGCAGGAGTTGCAGGTGCTGGCCGGCTTTTTACTCCTGCGGTAATCAAATCCATGGCCAGTATCAATGAACGGCCTATAATATTTGCATTAAGTAATCCAACAGCACAAGCTGAGTGCACACCTGAGGAAGCATACACACTTACGGAGGTATTAATCACTAATAATTACATGAATTGGTTCTGTTGGTTTTCACTTGCTCATTACGCATTCTTTTTATTTTTACTTTATGTGTGTTTGGTTGATTGTCTGTTTTATGACAGGGTCTGGCCATATAATCCAGGCTGGCATTGCATTTGCTATGTAGTCCAGGCTGGTCTTGAACTTGAGCTCCATCTGCCTCGGCCTCCGGAGTGCTGGGATTACAGGCATGGGCCACCATCCCTGGCTTAAACATTCTTGAACAGTTCTGTTAGTGGTTTTACTCGACATTACAGCATGAATCCATGGGGCATCACAGTCTGTTGTAAATTGCATCAATTCTGGAAAGCAGTTCCCTGATAACTCTGTTTTAATGCCATCATTCTTCTTATGTTGTTGTTGTTCCTTTCAATTTTATTTTTTTGGTGTTTGTTTGTTTGTTTTGTTTTCTGGTACCAGGAGTCGAACTCATGACCTTGCGCTTGCCCAGCAGGCGCTGTGCCGCTGAGCTAAATCCCCAGCCCTGTTCCTCTAAATTTTAAACTAAAAAGACATTACTATAGAAATTACTCAGATTTACCTGCATTTTAATTTTTTCTGTCTCCCTTCCTTCCTTTCTGCATGACTGTGCTTCTATTCAAAATAATTTTTCTCCTACCAGGAAAACTCTCTTGAATGTGGATCTAATGAACTCACTTGATGATTTCTTTATTTGGCCTTCATTTTAAAGGATATTTTCACCCTGCATAGAAGTGAAAGTTGGTACATTATTTCAGCACTATTTTATTGTTTTCTGGCTTCTGTTTTTCTTTTGATAGCATCATGTGTTAGGGTTTTTTGTTTTGTTTTTAGAGACAGGGTCTCACTATGTAGTTCAGACTGGCCTTGAACCAGTTAATGCAGGCTAGTCTCAAAGTCTCTGTGATCCTCCTGCCTCAGCCTCTGGAGTGCTGGGATTATGGGTGTGCACCACCATGCCTGGCTATAAGCAGTTGTATTACAATAGAACTGCATATGATTTTCTTAGTATTTGTTCCACGTGGAGATTATGTGCCCCTGAGGCTTGATGTCTTGTTTTTTGTTTGATTTTTTCTGTTTTGGAAAAATATTGTCTTAATATCACTGCTTTGGCTATATTCCCTATCTTATCTTGTAGGACTCCAATTAAGATAGTCAGACTTTTTTTTTCTTTTACCATATCTTGAATATCCTCTTGCACTGTTTTCTGTGTATATCATCCTGTTTGCTGTCTTTCAATCTGATGGTTTTCTTTGGCCCTTCAACTTTTTTTTCTTTTTTTTTTGGTACCAGGAGTCGACTTGCTCAGTAGGCGCTGTACTGCCGAGCTCTGTTCCTGGCCCTGGCCCTTCAAGTTTGCACATTCTCTTTTCAACTGTGCTTGTGTGTTAGGTTCTTAATTGTAGTTACTGTATAGTTTTCACCTGTAGAATTTCATTTTGAATCTTTTTATAATTTATTTAATGGACAGACTTAAATTACATAGTTTATAAATTCTACTCTTTTTTTGTCTGTCTTTTTGAGACGGGGTCTAACTATGCAGTTCAGACTGGTCTTGAACTCACTTTTTAGCCCAGGCTGGCCTCAAACTTGCAACAGTCCTCCTGCCTCAGCCTCCC